ACTTAGAAAAAGGGCTCTAGAAAGAAACACCACCTGCCATGGACACGAAACTCCCAACTTTTCAGAATGGCCCAGCGGCACACCTCTACTTGAGTGGGACCCCAAAGTCCCTCAGAAGGACTAGGATACACAGAACACAGCAGCACTGAATGGGAAAATGTCCTCAGGGGGTGGCTGTGTGTTGGCACGGTGCCAGATGGCTCGTGGGCAAGCAGACATGACCCCAGATTCAGGGCACAGCACACCATGCCCTCCCAGGCTGCGGAAAACACTAGCAAACAACAACTCAAACTCCCCAAACACAGTGAGCACAAGCTCAGCCTTTTATTCAGGGCAGGCCCCCAGGAACTTCATGTCCTTCCAAACACACCCTTCAGAGACTTGAATGCTAGATCAAAGCAGGTTATGTTCTAGCTGTTAGAGCAACTTGGATTTCTTGCAATGGGACCAGAAAATGGAAAAGCAAAAAACTTCTGGAATTCCAGGCAACTTTTACTTGTTACTCTGTACACTTGCCGCTTTCACGCTTTTTCTGGTGGTGTAGATTATGGTTACTTAAACTACCTGATACTAAATGAAAAGAGGAGACAAACACAGCAGGCATGGAAAGTGAGTGGAACAGCTCCAGCGGGGGATCATCCCACCAGGGGAAAACCCACCTGCCAAGGTGTCCGTCTCTGCCTTCGGTGCCTGCGCAGAGTCTGAGGGCAGGGCAGGAACCTCCTGCTGGGCTGAGGGCTGGCCCATTCCCAGGGTCCAGACAGCCTGGGAATAACCCTCCTCCTGGACCACAGTCCCATGGCCATGCCCTGCGGGTGACTGGCAGGGCTGCATCCACGCTTTCCACAGCCACAGAGCACCCCCAGAGCCAGATTTGCCAAGAGCCTGACTTAAGCCACATCCTGTTAAAAAATTAGGAAGGAACAGGCATGTCTACAAATCAAATTCCACTTAAAACAAATTTAAATTTGTAAGTGTAGAATACTTAAAATGGAATATTATCTAATGTAGTCTGACCCCTTCTTTAAAATTAATTTTATAATTACAATGACAATCTCACTATAAAAGGAAAAAACGACCAGAAATATGTATGGGGGGGTTGTAGTTTACCTTCCCCTTCCCTCCCCTTCCCATTGCTCAGCCATCCCTCAACATACACACAATTCTTTCCCAACACACACACAGTCACTTCCTCCCCCAACACAGCTCCCACACACCCCTGTCCTCCTGCTACCCCGTGCCTCACAGATGGCAGCCTGTGCTCAGGGCTGTGCCCCTACAGCCCAGAGTCCAGGCATTACGGTTCTCTGTCCTGCCAGCTGATTTTCACACGGGAGGACCTGCACGCACGCACGCGCGCACACGCACATACACACGCGCGCGCGTGCCATTGTGCTATGCATTCTCCCCAAGTAGGGGCCTCTCACTTAACGTATCAACACCTCTTTAAAGGAAGCCTCAATTCCTTCATCAAATGAAGGCCCCTGTGGCATGTTTCTAGGGGCGCTTAGGGGAACAGAGTAAAGGGCCTTCAGGCACCCCTGCCCACAGCCAACACCCATCAATCTGGATAATCCTGCCCTCCACGTCCCCGCCCATCTCCCACCCACATCTCACCCACAATAACCCTGTGCCATTTCCTCTGAAGACATTCCGGTATCTCACTAAAAGGTTAAGAGCTTTTTAATATAACCACAACGCTGCCAGTAAGGAATACAGTCATTCTTCACAATTATCAGTCACTCAACCAATGCTCTACTGTCTCTCTCATACATATCAGAATTTGGCAAAAGGGTGCTTCTTGGGTGAAACGCTGTCTGATGTGAGCTCTGGGTCCAAAGCAGGCAATCCCAGGGTGCTGCTTGGAAGCGACTGGGAATAGGTGCTTCCAGGGAGGACATCTGAGACTTTTAGACCAAATAACAAGCCAGTCCTGCAGAGGTGGACATGGTCACAGGAAGCCGGCTCTGGGGGCTGGCACCCAGGAGGGGTGCTGTTATGGCCCTAGGAGGGCAGCAGGCCCGGCGCTGGCATGGCACTGCCAGGTAAAGTGAGTGCAGGGTTTGAGGGCAGGAAGCTGGAAAGTGAGCCACTATAAGAAACCAGGATGAACCAATCTGATCACCCTAAGGCTGACCTTAATTGGCATGCTGAAAAATGCCACCCCAGCTCCTGGGGAGTCCTGCTCTTGGCAGAGTCAGCAGAAACTTCCTCCTAATAAAACCCACTTACCCCATGTCACCTCTGGCAGCAGAAAGGCTAGAAATGGCTGTGAGTTATGCTGTGTCTCCAGCACAGAGGAGCCTGCTAGACAGGCCCTGCTCTCAGGCGACACCCCAAGACATCCCCAGATGGACACAGAACCATGAGGGCTGCACCTATCAAAGCCAGGGTGATAGGGCCATCTACCTACCCTTCCTTGCTTCTTTCCTTCTTACATCTATCCTTCCTCCTGGAATGGGGACAGAAGGATATCCCTGCCCTCAGCTGGGAACCATGAGGACAGCAGCCTGTCTCCCAGGGTCCATCCTTGACAGCCAACCCATGGCAAATTCACATGTACACATTATACACAGGCAGCTTCATCCCACAGCCAGCCTGAACAGTCACTGCTGTTGCTCTGGCCAAGGCTGGGGGCCATGCCACCTCACCTTCCCACGAGTTCTTGTAACTAAGCAAATTAACACCAAGGGGAAGATGGCTGTATATTATGAAACAATCAGCAAGCAAACGGCAATAAGACTCTAATCCAGGGACACCCGGAGCGCCAGGGTAGAAGGGGGAACAGGTCCCAGCTGCCAACGCAGGAGCTATGGCCCAGGTTCACCACACAAGTGGTCAGAAGGCTCTGCAGTCATGTGCATTCTGCCCCCACCAAAAGAAGGGGACCCAAGTAGCCAGTGTCCACTCTGGGTGTGGGAGGGGTGGGCTCCCTCTAGAAACACAGAGAACCGATATGAAAACCATTGATCTTTGCAAAGCATTATTGATTTTGCTGTGTGCTGGCACCAGTAGACGGGCCTCCCTTCTCACTCAGAGCCAGTCATTAGTGTGCACTCCCCAGCACTGGCCTAGACATCCCAGCTTGCTGCGGAGAAGGCACTCCAGATGAAACGGCCTTGGACAAACCACACGGAGGGGTCACATGATGCTGCCATTAAAGTGCTCTCCCTGCCCCTATACCCATCAGACAGCTGAGCAGCAGGGCTGCACCCCACACTTCAGCCCAGGCAGATGCATCAACTTCCAGGACCCCCAATAAGGTCACCAGAGCTCCACTCACAGGGGAGGCTCATTTCCAACAGACAGTGTGCTTTCAGGGAGGGGGGCTGGGGGACTCCTCAGCACCATTTCAGGCAGATGGAAGGAAAGAAAGATGGCAAAGCCCAGTCCATGCCCCACGCCATGCCAGCTCACCGTACTGTAATGCTGTGTGTGGAGGGAGCCATGCCGGGGGGGGAACCTGTGCAAGTGAGGGACTCTGACAAAGAGGGACCCAACAGGGTTGCCTCTCAATGCCAGCAACCAGCTTTTCTTTGTTTGTTTGATTCTGCAGGTGCAGACACTTTTATCAGTCTGAAGGTCTGGCCAGGGGCGGGGGGCAATCCCTTCCCATACAAACACCACCCCTCATTCCTGAAGGCCCTTTCCCTGGTAGGAGGCAGTGCCAGTGCCAGGGCTCTCAGAGTGGGCCTGCCTTATTCTCCTTTATTTCTGAAGACGAAGGACACAGACACCAACCGTTCCAGTGACAATCGTGCCATTATCTCTGCCAGAATCCTGGCCCCATGCTAGCCAAGGCAGCCTGTTTCTGGGACACAGTAAACACTACCAAATACCGGCATCCAGGAAGTTAGCAGACAAGCCCCAGGCCTGGGACAGATAGGAGGTGACAGCCCACCCATGTCACCTCATGCAGCCACCTGCCACCCGCCCCCCCCCAAAAGGAAGCTTCCACCCCATGGTGCCCAGTTGACTTGAACAGACTCAGGACAAGAGGCCCAACTGCTTGGCTCCAGGCCTCAGGTCTGGCATGGCCTGCAGGGACCTGACCACCCATGCAGCTGGGTTGTGTTCAACGTAAAATGAGGTTTTCAAAACAAAAGCAGAACGACTTGCAGAAAGCAGGGCCCAACCAGTGACTGCAGGCCTCATTTGAAGCGACATGCCCACCTGTAGATGCCCATGCACTCCCCTCTCCCCAAAACTAAATCAAACGAGCATGGAGGGCACCACTCAATTCTTCTTCCCAGTCTGCACTGGCGGAACCCCTTGGATTCGGCCCCTGCAGCTCACCAGGCGGCAGCAACAGGTGCAGCCAGGCTAAAGCTGGCGAATATCCCGGTTCCTGCTGGAACCACGCAGCCCAAACCCAAAAGGACGGCCGAGGCCTGCAGCCCTCCAAGCCAGGCAGACCTGCCCCACCTGTCTGAGTGCGCGCTCCGGCCGGCAGGGCACACTGGGGCCGCGGCCTCTGCGGCCTCCGCGCCCGAAATAGCAGCCCGCGGGGCCAGGCCTGGCAGGAGGGGCCGCGGGAGCCTGGCGCGGGCCGGCGGGGCCGCAGGGTCCCAGCCGAGCGGACCGAGCGCCGCCGGCCTGGCCCAGCGCGCCACCCCTTCGCCCGCCGGGTCAGCAGCTCGCCCGCGCCCCCCCGCCGCGCGGAGCCACCTGCGCCGGGGAAGAGGCGCCGGGAGGGGGCCGGGGAAGAGCCAAGGGGTCCCCGAGAGGGTCGCGGGAGGAGGATTCGGGGCCGGGGCTCCGGATGGGTCAGGGCTGGAGTCCGGGTGCGGGGTCCGGGTGGACGCCGGGTAGGAGCCAGGGGGTGAGGCTGGGGGCGCAGGGTGTCCGAGTGCGGCTCCGGAAGGGTCCCGGCGGGGGTCGGGATCCCGGGCCGCCGAGACGGTGTAAGGGCAGCTCCGGGGCGGGAGCTCCGGGCGGGCTCCAGGGGGGTCCCGTAAACCCAGCGCACCTGCGCGGCCCGCGCCCGCCCCCGCGCTTACCTGGCGCGGCGCGTCCTGGCGCAGAGCCTGCGGTGCCCGGCCCTACGCGCCGGCGGCAGAATGGCGACGGCGGCGGCGAGGCCCGGCTCGGAGAGCCGCGAGGCCGGGCGAGGCGTGCGGCGCGGGGATGCTGCGGCGCGAGGGCGCCGAGGCGGGCGAGGGCGGGGGGGGAGCGGCGCGAGGCCCCGCCCCCGCCCCCGCCCCCTCCCTTCCCGCCTCCGCCCGCCCCTCCCTTCTCCCCGCCTCCCCTCCCCCTCTCCCCGCCCGCCTTCCCTCCCCTTCCTTACCTTCCTCCACTCCCCTTCCTCCTGCCCCACCGCGCCCCACCTCTCCTCGCCTCCCTCCCGCTCTCCCCTCCCAGTCTTTGCCCGACTCTTACCCGAATAACAGGGCCCAAAGGCGCCCCCCCCACCTCTGGTCTAGTCTCTGGCTTCTGCTGGATCAAACAGAGATTCTGATAACTGCCTTTACGCCTTCCTCACCACCTGCTAATGGCCTCTAGGAACCTGGCCTAACCCGCCCTTCCTAACAGCCCCCTCCTACCCTGCCTGCAAGGTCTCTTGCAATCCAGGCCCAGGTGCCTGCTATGTTGGGGAGCTGCAGTGTAGGCACAGCATGGCACCCAGGAAAAAGCTGACTTTGGGAACAAACAATCCAAACCAAGTCCCATGCCCACACACACACACTTTCCTGGGGTGAGGAGGGCAGGCAGCTCCTCCAATACAGGTTTTCCTGCAGCCCTTCTGTGCCCTCATACCAACAGTTCACAAAATTTTCATCATTTTCTACATTAGAGGGCCAAAAGGCTCCTCATTGTGGCCTCTGGTGAGGCATATCTGTGACTAGGCCCCAGGTTTGGGAGGCTAAGTGTCCTCAAAGACTCTTCCACCAAATAGGGAAAGGTGACAGTGTTATAGAGCAACCCTGATATTAAAACGGGTTCCTGGCTGTGGGTCCTCACCCGTGCGCTTTAAAGGGACTTATGAATACTCTACCACACACACACACAAAAGGTTAATAAAAGGTTTATTTACAAGAGAAAAGGAAATAAGGAAAATGTACAACTCAGGGAAAAAATAGGGAAATAAAGTCTTTAATGCGTCCTACCCGATCCGCCTACCTGGAAACCCAAAGTCACTCTCAGAGCTGGCGGAGAGCCAAAATGGGGGATCCCCAAAGCCCACATGTCTGCCTTTTATATCCACCTGGCTGCTTAACCCCACCCTCAGGTCCCAGCCACCTTCCCTTTGGTGGTGATGGGATTTGGAGTTCCCAGTGTCTTTGACTTTGACCTAGGGTGGGGGTGGAGTCCACCAAGCCTATATGGAATTAGCTTTGGGACATCCTTTTCCCCCTAACAATTCCCCCCTTTCACTTTTTGCCACCATTTCCATGGTGATGAAGATCGAATATATGGAGGTTGTGTTATAGGACAGGGAGAGGGGCAGCCCAAACCCCGCAAACCTGCCTATTCTAAATGGGTTCTGCCATCCGCCGCATCAACACAAAACATATGAGACTTTAATGGGAAGGAACTTTAATAAAACTAAGAAACAATACAGGTAAGGCAAAGAGTCTAGTTTCTAAGCAAAGCACCCAAAGTTACCCATCCCCTCGTGGGTAAAAGTCCATCCAAATGGGATTGGCCCAGAGCAAGGCCCCAAAGCCTGCCACGAGTCTAAAGCACCTTCCAGTGGGGACCCACAGCAAAGGGTCAGAAACAATCAGACAAGCCCAGAAGGAAAAGAGCAAAATCAACATCAAGATAAAAGCTGCCATGGTCACCTCCCCACGGGTCTCACCCACATCTGTGTCACCCAGTCCACGACCAAAAGACAAGCGCAGTTTCTTTACGTGTCTCTAGGCTCAATGCGCCTCCTCCAGGTCTCCTGGCTCCATCCTGCTTCCTTCCTCAGTCTCTTCTTCAGCTTCTCCTCTTCCTGCTCAGCTCCACCCTCCCTTGGGTGGGGCAGGGAACCTCCCCCTTTCCTGGGGACCACCCTGTTACAGTTGGGATGCAGTCTCAGATGAACATTTTGTCAGGTTCCAGTGTGAAAGAAAACCAGTCTCTCCAGGTATTTGTCCATTGTGGAAAGCAAAAGTCCTCCACTCCAGGAAAAATAGTTCACCAGTTCAAGCCAAAAAAAAAAAAATCTGGAGGCATTAGCCAAAACAAGACAGCAGATATGTAAAAAATCACAGGAAAAAAAAATCTGAAAATGGTTCAACTGATGTAAAACACAAATTTTCTCAACCTTGATTTGGCGTCCAACGTGATTTAGGACAGAGCCATCCGTGGTTAGTCAGCCCCATGGGGAAATTGGGCTTCCCTATGGCACTGGCTACCATAAGCGCAAATGTGATTTTTGGTTTCTCCAGTGTGTTTGTTTCATATGTCGATTTGCTGTTGAAAAACTGGCTTGGGCTTTGTGAAGATTCTGTGTGTCTGTGTGTAATTTGTTTGTAGTGACTTGCTAACAGATTTTAATTTGTGGAAATTGTTCTGTGCCAGTTTTACTCAAAAGATTAGGCAGTACATTGGACCATGTGGCCAGATCAAAGATGGCGTCTGAGGCCACTTGGTGGGCTCTTGTAAAATTCAGAGGTTCTTGTTGCTAGGACTTTGGAGCTTTTTTTTTCTTTCTTTCTTTTTGTAATCTCTGCTGTCTCATTAGCATTTCTAAAGGCAATAATGGTTCATCAGTGGTATGTTGCTTTGTCTTTGGCTACTTCCTGCTCTCTGCCTGATGGATTTTGCAAGCCAATTGTGGAGCAGTGGTGTTTAAATTAGCAAACGTATGCCTGGGTGTTAAGGAAACAGTAGCCTTAAGCAGTAACTGGTAATTGCTGGTAGCCATGATGGATTCTTGGAGATAACTTGAATTTTTGCAAAGTCTGGATCAGAAAAATTAACAAGATTTTGTCTGAGTCTGAAAGGATTTGCTACTGTGAATTTTGTCTACATAATTTGTTTTGGGCATGTTTGCCATTTTGAATACTGGATTTGTTCAATTGCTGGTGTAAGACAAGATTCTAAGTTTCTGCTTCCTACTGAGGAAGGTCTGTTATGGAAAGCACTCTTTAGGGTGCATCATAAAACTGTACCAGGTTTTCATACCTGTGTTGTTGTTGTCCCTCCCTAGTGTGGGGGAGGTGTAATCTATGCTTAGATGTTGAATCTGCTCTTTCAGCTTCTGTCCCAGAGTGGCTAACAGAAGTAAGGAGATGACTCCTTTTAATTGAAAGTTAATTACTGATATTTTGATTTTGCTTTTTCAGGTTCTATTTCAGGAAACCCAAGGAGTGCCTGCTTGGTGGCTAACAAGAGATGACTCCTTTTGCTTAAAAGTTAACTGTTACTTTTATTCTTTCAGTTGCTGTACAGAATACCCCAGGATTGCCTTCTAACAAAAAGTCTTCAACACTGAAAACCCTAAGTTGATAAACAAGGTCATGTAACTCTTGTGATTAATAAAACTTTTCCTTCCTATTTCCAAAGTCTTAGGTTTGTAAGATGACAACCAGAAATTTTTCTGCCAGCAACACTCCACAATTTTTTTTGGACTTTGACATTTTTTTTCTAAGCCTATGGAGTAAAACTGTTATAGGACAGGGATTGGGGCAGCCCAAACCCCGCAAACCTGCCTATTCTAAATGGGTTCTGCCATCTGCCGCATCAACACAAAACATATGAGACTTTAATGGGAAGGAACTTTAATAAAAACTAGGAAACAATACAGGTGAGGCAAAGAGTCTAGTTTCTAAATGAAGCACCCAAAGTTACCCATCCCCTCGTGGGTAAAACTCCATCCAAATGGGATTGGCCCAGAACAAGGCCCCAAAGCCTGCTACAAGTCTAAAGCATCTTCCAGTGGGGACCCACAGAAAAGGGTCACAAACAACCGGACAAGCCCGGAAGGAAAAGAGCAAAATCAACATCAAGATAAAAGCTGCCATTGTCACCTCCCCATGGGTCTCACCCACATCTGTGTCACCCAGTCCACGACCAAAAGACAAGCGCAGTTTCTTCACGTGTCTCTAGGCTCCATCCTGCTTCCTTCCTCAGTCTCTTCTGCAGCTTCTCCTCTCCCTGCTCAGCTCCACCCTCGCTTGGGTGGGGCAGGGAACCTCCCCCTTTCCTTGGGACCACCCTGTTACAAAACTGCAGTTACCTAACGTTCCACGTGGCATAACTAAAAAAAACTGTCTTTGTCTACATGTTGTATGACTGTATGTCCTTGTGTCTAACTGTCTTGGCCTCTAGAGGTTGAAAAATTGGTATACATGGTGCCCATAAATGTTGAAAAAAAAAAAGAGTCTCCAGCTATGAGGAAACACAAAGGTTATGGTTTCATTGTCAACATTGTGCTACTGAACTAAGCCGGTACCTTCATAGAGATTGAATATTGTTGGTTCTGTTAATTTTCTGATATTTATGGCAAAGCTTCCCAGAAATCTAAATTCAAGTACAAATTTGGTAGCCTGTCATTTGACTCATGCAAGGAAATTTTGTGGAACCTCAGTAGAACTCCTGAGACACTCCACAAAGTTTCTCCCTTTCCTCCTGGGAAGGCATTAGATGAATTTGTTCTATTTGGCTTTTACCTAATGAAGTAAAACTGGAAGGGAAGCATTGTCACTTGGGAAAATGGTAAAACTTTGGTATGTACAAAATGTTAACAGTAGTTTTCTAAAATGTGTATGAAAAAACCTCTCAGTATCTGGTATGTATGTAAATTGTCAATGGTGATTGTCACCTTGTAATATTGTATAATTCAATTGTTTCACATCTACAGAAATTGTTTCTGGAAATGTAGGGAGAAAAGGTCTCAACAGATTTCTATTGATGGAACTGTTGAGAGTAAAAAACTTTCCTACAAAGGACTGAATAGACCTGGAAATACACCTGACATTTACTAAGGTTTCTTTGACATAATACTGGTAATTTTTTTTATGCATTCTGTCCTGAATCCACAAAGTTTTTGTTTTGTTTTGAGTAACCAGGAGCTGCAGCAAGGTTGCAATTTTTTTTTCCAGCAAAGCTAACTTGTCACATTTTC